ATATCATTAATGAGCCGCCGTTTTGTGGGATAGATGTACAGTGATGGATGGGCTAAAAGCACTATTTCTTTATTTTCTCCAAGAGAACTGCGAAAGCAAAAACCAAATTGCAGTATGATAACTAAAATTATACAACAAATGTGCAATGAGCATTTCTGTGTGAACTAGAGCTTGCATTTAAAAGGAAAATGGGAAAAGTCACTTTTGCCCATTCATCTCTGTACATCTATCCCACAACATGGCGGCTCGTTAATGATATTCATTGCTAGACGCTGCATTGGTGGGAAAGGTCTATAAGTAATCTTGTACCATAAAGAGTTGAGGTCAGTAGCTGACCCACCATGGTAAAAAATGACCCATCCCTCAGTACCTATGTATTAATTGAGTCTGATCATGAGTAGCTAGACGATCATCTTATGGGTCCCTCAAAGTGTGTGGATCTACAGACAATATTGAAATGGTCATTGGTACTGAGGAAACTGTCTGTGACTTAATTTTAGCTTTGTACATACTTTGTACTTACATGAAGTTCCATGTGATGGTATTGAGTACTTGCATCTGGCAGGTAGAGTCAGGGAGGAGTGGTACAGTGTTAATTGGAGGAGACAAAAACATAAAGATACTGAAGAGTGGAGAGAATGCTGCATACAAAATTGATATCACTAATATCAAAATAAATGATAACAATGATAATGAATAATTATTATTATTATAATTAATTATTATTGTTATAGGCACTTCAAAATAATCATTTTTTAAGAAATAGATCAATGTTGTATAGACTAGTGGCTGGGAAGGGACCCTTTCTTAGAATTCTTAGATATGTACTTGTACAAATTTGATTTCTATAAGAAATAGGTAGACTATGTACATGTACATGTACTTAAAATATACTTTAAAATTTTTCTAATTTGTTTAAGTACAAATTGAATTCTAAGTATGTATGTAACAAGTACATTCCTATTTACTTTGAAATCTGTACTTTGAAGTCTTGATGGCTACAGTATACACTGACCATTAATTTAGGTTGCAATAACAGATGACTTACTAGTGTAGTCAGTATTATAATACATGAGTTCATCTGAGATAAACAATGTTGCATAGACAAGTGGCTGGGAAGGAAATTTTTCTTAGAATTCTTAGATTTGTACTTGTACAAATTTAATTTCTAGGTATGTATAGTACATGTACTTAAACATTAAAAAAATTTCAGATCTGTTCAAGTACAAATTAAATTCTAAGAATGCATGTAACATGTACATTCCTATTTCCTTTGAAATCTGTACTTTGAAGTCTTGATTTGCTACAGTATACACTGACCATTAATTTAGGTTACAATAACAGATGACTTACTAGTGTAGTCAGCATTATAA